TTGGCTGCTATTTTTTTTGTGAATTCTTAATTGGTAGATTTCATATATACAGTTCAAAAAATAGATTTGCATACTCAAGTTCTGAATGTACTTAAAAGTTGTCCACTAGCTGAATTGAGTTTTAAATTTGTTTGTATCTACATTGACAAAACTAGTTCATCATTTTTAGAAGAATTGATTTGACTTAGAAGCAAAAGCATATCAGTTTCAAAAGTATGTCTGTCCAAGTTAAGTAAATTTACTAACTCTGTGTCAACTTGGTATTAACACTGAGTTCAAAGAGCTTTGTATACATTACAAAGCAGCTCTAGGATGGGAAAAGATGGTGGCGTGAGAAATGAGGTGTAAAAAACAACTCTAGCTCTATCAATATCAATAGTGTTTCTCAATTTTTTTCCCTTTGGTTTTTAAATGCAATATACATAATACTTAAAATTAAAATTTTCTTTTTATTGATTCATGTTACAAAAATGTATAATAGCACTTATCTATTTGTATTATGAAAATGTTCACTTTAAATGTAATTAATTGTGTTACCTATCTAACCAGATCACAAATATGCTTTCCTTCCCCATGGAGCTTCAAATTTAGCTCATTCATAAACAGTGTGACATTGATGAGAAAAAGTAAATTGTATTGCCATTTTTTTGTCTTTGATTTTTTAATGTTTGGCAAAAAAATCTTGAGTCGGAGTTAACAGTACAGTAATTCTTTGAAAGCTCCCCATGACTCAACCAATGAGTCCTGGCAGAACAAAACAAAACAAACCATTAAATGAATTGTGTTCTCTTTCTTTTACCAATTCCATAAACTGTCAGTGATTCGTAGCATTAACATATATAATTCCAAATGGTTTTAACAGCTATGACACTTTTCATAGTCTGCTTCCGAAATTGAGCACAATGTTTTCATTGTATGTGGGACAAAGTAATAAGTGAAACATTAGTTTCTTGTTTTAAAATTTCAGTAAGTCAGAATTTTTTGCCAAACCTAGCAGAGGTACCATCTATTGTGGTAGAACTACTTTTTTCCCACGTGTACCTGAATTTCTTTGACTGAAGACTCAAGAATATCTATGATGAGTTTATATGTGTGTGTGTGTGTGTGTGTGTGTGTGTGTGTGTGTATATATATATATATATGTATGTATATATTTGGTCATAAATTGATGGCATTTCTTTGTAAGTTTGGAAATCTTTGACCTAAGATGTGACTCAGGTATTAATAGAGCAGTATCTCTTACATTTACAACTCAATTTAAATCTAAAAAGTATTTGTGATGTTTAAAATATTGTATCAATTGATGTTTGATATGTGGTCTTATATTCTATAGGTTATATTGAAGATCTTTCATTAAAAAAAATAAATTAAAAAAAATCTTTCTCCCATAATTTTCTAACAAAATTTCTACAAGTGAAATAGTATATATATTTAACTATCTCTGTCTAAAAATGGTTTTATTTTTTGTGAAAAAACTAACCCATTTTATATCTGACCAAAGTCATAAGCTCAGACCATGTTAACATAATATTTAAAAATATTTCTGGATATTTAATTCTGATTTGAGGTGAACAAACTTCATCAGTTCTTATTTGTTGAGAGGAATCTTCTTGTCAGATTTACTGTGTATTTGTTGACAGTGTCTCTTAATATTGTCTAGCTTACTATCTTTAAAATATTTTACACAGTAAATAGCCATTTTTGGTAGCAAATTGCATTGTTGTTCATTGTGAAATTTGTGATATGCCTTATTCCAGTCTCTTTCTCTTGTGTTTTTCTTCACTGTTCCAATAAGAATACTAGCTTTTGTATCTCTACTTGATTCTGCATGAATAATATATACTTTTTATATTAAAAAATTTGCCCATTTACTTTTTACCTTGAAAAATAATTATAATTAAAACAGTAATAAATATTTCAGATTAATAATCAATTACATTTTACCTAGGATATCACTGTAATTTTTTCTGTCTGCATAAAATTTTCAACTCCATTAAATGTTACAACAGTGCATGGAAAAAAACATCATCCATTCAGAATCAGTTCGTTAAGGTTGACCACACTGGTGATGTGATTATGTGTAATGTCAAAGAAAAATTGCACTGGACAAGTTAAGCAGGCAAGAAAACTTTACTCAAGACTGTTGTAATACGGGAGAGAGTGAACTCACCTCCCAATAGGAGAGGATTTATAGACAATGGGTAAAGTATGAGAGTCAGGGGTGAAAAATTACTGAGAGGAACTTGGTTAGGTATTAAGGGTGGGGGTATGAGAATTTGGTTAGGTATCCAGGTGGAGAGATTCTTGATAAAGTGGTTTAGCAGGGTTCTTGCCAAATCTGGGTTTGGCAGGCTGCCAATGCCAAGGCCTAGTTGAGAAGATGGTTCAGTGGAGCATAGCTGAAGTTTGGTCAAGGAAGAAGCTCTTGTCAGTAATATCAGAAACAACAGAATCATATGTAATGAAAGAGTTAAGTAAAATTTAGTTCTACCAAAACAATAAAGTCTTTAATGGAAAAATATGCTGCTTCAGTTTAAGTTTGAATTAATTAAAATTAAATAAAATTTAAAATTTAGTTCCTTAGTCCCATTCACTACATTTAAAATGCTCAATAGCCACATGTAGTTTATGGATACTATATTGGACAGTGGAGTCCTAGAGTAGACAATAGTATGTACTCCAGTGATTTTTAACTTGTCCCCATCTAATGTGCTTTTAAATGGCTTCCAACATTGTACAACTACATAGAATACTTTGTTATTCCTTGTGTGTATCTGAGTATTTTTCCAAGGTATATTTCTGAGAAATAAAATAACTAATTTTAGAAGGTTGTTTTACATGTGATCTATTAATACTCTCAGATTGCCATCCAAAAGGCTATTTTACACTATCACAGTACAGGAGATTATTTGCTCTTAACCCTCATCCACTGTTGAGATTTTCAATCTCTGAATTTTGCCAATCTTATAGATGAAAATAAAATAATTTTTAGTATACATTTCCTTGGTAATTAGTGAGACTGAATAGTTTTTCATGTTTATTAATATTTCACTTCATAACATAATACATGTTATTCTAAAAATATTTTCTAAAAGACAGTATGTATTTTGTGTTCTTGCTTTGGGTACCTGTGGTCAGGTTGTTGGGGCAGGTGAATTTTCAATTTGCATTCCTGTGAACAAGAATCATTTGTATTACTATTTTCTACAATTTACTGAGCAATAAAATTGCTTAAAGACAGTGAAAGGCTAGGACTACTAAAGAATCAGATTACCCAGTATGGTATGCCAGATAACACCTAGCATTCCATAAAACACCCAGCAATCTTTCACTTTTTTTCCTGACAGATAACACATTTAAAGCTGCTAGCTCATTATCTGGCTCACAGTAAGAATGAAGTAAATTTAATTTACTTCTCTTCCATTGAAATAATGAAAAGCAAGATAATTGAAATTTCTGGCATTTCTGTAGAATTACCATCCAGAATTTCCCTGGATAGGGGCTGTATCTAGATTCAGCTTTGTTTTCCTTGGGCATTGCCCAGTGATTGGGAGCATTTTAAAGGGTTGTACAGTAAGTGTTGACTGAATGGAACTGTGTTCAAGTCTGTTCTCAATCATTTTCTTATCTAGAGATATATGTATACATCAGGTGAAAATAGGCTTATTTTTCTTACATTGTTATTTTTCATGTTTCAGACCGGGATTAGAAAATATATATTCTAAGCACACAAACTAGGCCCTTTGCAAAATGGTTAGACTAGTTGTTTACTTTTGTTAAAAAACAAAATTTTACTGAGCCAATTTTATCTATTTATCAACTGAGTAAATTTTAAAGATCTTACTAGCTTTATTCAAATATTCATGAGTTGGGCAGCTTCCTATCTAGCACACAGAAAGGAGCTCCAAGGAGCTGTATAAAATGAAGGACTTCTATTGGCAGAAGGGAGGGGGAACAAGGAAGCTGCACCAGCAAAAGTGATTGTGGCAAGGTCCATGTACTTTCCTTTAGGGGATGGCAGGTGTCTATCAGGTAGGTTACAGGTCACTAGATGCTAATCAAGTAGTTCCTGATTGACTGGTTTAAGACTCCATTTCTGAGAGAGCTGAAACTGTGAAATTAATTAACTCTTCAGTTTGATGACTTGAGACTTAGCATAAGTGACTCCATTTTGGGTCTGTTTTGTTTTTAAATAGTCCAAATTGTGTGAATACAGCTAAATAAAAAATCCTACTCTGTAATAATAGCAAATGCAATTTTGTTGTGTGCAGTCTTAAGGCATGATTATGCTGTTCTCTCTGTGAGTGGTGTTTTTTACACATGATAAAGCAGGCTAGCATATTCACATACATTACAGCTAGAAAAATCCCTTGCTTTAGAAACATTTCTTATCTGCTTTTTAGATTTAGTGTTCAACAAAAATATTTTTGTAAATGACTGGAAAAAATATGCAGTGGCTTCTGTAGACTGTAAAATGAAGGAGAAGCTTAGCTTTACTGTGGAGTCTGAGTCTGGGTGTAACCTAACTAGCTAGAGGATATGCAATTCCTGATTGACAGCAGGACCAGCATTATGCAGATTTTGTAAGAGAACAGCAGCTTAGAAAACAGTGGTTAGGGGCTCTGTTAGGAATCACCACTCATATCTTCAGTTTTTCATTTTTCTGTCTACCGGATTTGTAAATAAATAACACAAAACCAGTTCCTCCTTTGTTTTTATTAAAGTGATACTGCAGTGCAGTTTTAAGATAGGCATATTTGTGTGGAAATTCGATATTCTCACTAAATTAGCTAATTTTTAGCTGTGTTCCATACTTATCTCTAGACCTTTGTGTATTAAATCCTATCTCGAGCTGTTCTCTTTATACACAAGTGTGTTTTGCTTGTGCCTTCCTGTCTTCAGTGAGAAGCTTTATGTAGGTCAGGCTTGGCTTAAGCAGATTTCCTGAACCTGCGTCAGCTTAAGCTGGAGGAATTTTAATAAACCCTCCCCTGTAGGCGTGGGCCTAAATGAGGCTAGCCTAGTTAAGCCTGATCTTTTTCTGTTTGTGAAAAGAGCTGAGCAGAGCTGAAGGCTGCTTGGTGGTTTCAGAAGCTGCCTACTTAATTTGAAAAGAACAATGGTAGGAAAGGCTAGGTCTTCCAATTTTACCTTATCTGAAAAGCTTGATTTGCTAAAGCTGGTGAAGCCATATGTTAAAATTCTCGAAGAACACACTAATAAACATTCAGTAATAGTGGAAAAGAATAGATGTTGGGATATCATAGCAGTTAACTATAATGCAATTGGAGTAGATCGCCCTTCTCGAACAGCCCAGGGCCTACGCACCCTTTACAAAAGGCTCAAAGAATATGCCAAACAGGAGCTATTGCAACAAAAAGAGACCCAATCAGATTTTAAAAGCAATATTTCTGAGCCAACCAAGAAAGTTATGGAGATGATTCCCCAGATTTCCAGTTTTTGCCTGGTAAGAGACAGGAACCACATACAAAGGTAAGCTTTATTTTCTTTTCTTGTGGAAAATTATGGCACCTCCTATGTATTGGGCTCTGGCTTAGTTGTGATAGAGATATGCATAGTAAACATCCCCACTAGGGGAGCAATGAATAGTGTCTTTGTTTTGCATTCTTAAAAAAGAAAAGTGAGGCTATAAGGAATTTTTCTGCTGCATTTGATTTAAGCCACTTTTTATTGTCTTCCCCTCCCCCTTCCCTCCTTCTAGTTTCTAAGAAGGGTAGGGAGAACTAAATGGGTTGAAATTTGTGACATCACCTCACAAACTTTTTAAGCTTTAGAATTAACTTGTTTAATTAGGTTCTGAAGGATAACTTTTTTCTTTTTTATTTAAGACCACATTTCATTGGAATTTTCAGTTTTATATAAAGTTAGCAGTTTCAGAAGAAATGGAACCCTTGTTTTTTATGAATTGTCCCTATCTACACTTACTGAATATTAATTGAGCTAAAAACTTAATTAACTTTATTAATAACATGTAAATTAAGGCAGTTTAAATTATTTTTCTAACTTATATTCAAAATTAAAAAGATAAACACAAGCAAAGGAGTTAATGCTTAACTAGGGACCCAGATCACTTAATAAAATTAGAAGTTTTTGTTGTTTTTATTCATTAATGGTCTAGTTTCACTTTGGTCTTAGGTCATACACAGGAAAGGGTAAGCTCACCTATACTTTTGCAAAGATATCAAACTATGAATTTTAAAATACCAGTAAGAGCAACTGGTTTCTTATAGGGTTAGAATTTTTGTTGTTGTTAAATATATGCTCTACATATCCCCTTGCCTGGGAATCTTCACAACTGTTATTTTACCACCAATTCAGATTTTAACCCCTGGCAAGGATAACAGTGGCAGCTACATTTTCTTGAGAACCATTTAAGGTAATTTAAACAAACTGTAAACTCCATGTTAATTGAGGGACCCTTTCAAACAAAGCTTTACAATGTGCTTTTGTATCGGTGAGGAGTCAATATATAAGCAAAATTATTGATTACCTGTGAAATCCTTTGGAATTTAGGAAAATAAAAGGGGGTAAAATGGGGGAATATAACATATTTGTTACTTTGATTATTAGGATAATTTTTTTGAGCCCAGCTTCTTACCATATACTGCTTATTTCTAGTTAATAGCATAGTAAAAAAACAAACAAACACCAGTGGGAATCTGGGACATTGATAACAACGTTCTAATTCAGGGGGCCACTGCTTAAAAATGTGATGACAATGATTAAATCCTAATATGCTGGATGTCAAAAACAACTCTACAGTAAGACAATTTTACATGTGCTACTTACTAAAAAACTTTTCTCCCTTCAAACCATAGAAAAAAGTGCCCTTTTGCATTACAGGTATAAAACTAGCTTTTGGGTATTAAGTAGAGGTTTTTGTAATTTGAAAATACACAGAGAAACTGTAGTTTTAGTTGTATATTTTAAGAACAGTGAATATAGAAGACAAATAATATACAAGTATCTGCTTACATTTTGACTGTGTATATACATACAACATAATATAATACACATACACACATGCAGTCAGTCTTTTGGGATGGTAACATTTCTCTGATAAAATGAGTTACTTGATTTACATATTTCTATACCTACTGTTTGAACAATGTTTCAGATTTTAAAGGGCAGAATATTAGAAATAAGCCCTTTAAATGCTTATTTGTATTAGTGTCCAGTGCCATTTTCTGTTAACACTTTTGTTTAATATATTTAATATGCTTAGACTTACTTGATTTATGTCATCTTGAATCTTAATAATTATCTCAGAAGTTTATAATTCTATAGTCTTAATTATGTTTCTGTGTAAATATGCCTGTTAATCTCACCAAACTCCATTCTTAAAAAGGAAAAATTATTGCCTATATTATTTAATGTATTTAAAAATACATATGTAATTTGTAAGGCTATCTCTATAACACATTGATATTTGTCTTTATTTTTACTTCTAAGATTATATTTTGTGTTTTTGTAAGCTATTTGATCTTAAAATTTATATTCATAAATTTTAGAGCTCCTGCTTATCATTTTTGGGACCTTCTCTAAAGCACTTATTTTTAATATTTTACTTTGTGTGCCTTACTTATGTTCCAACTAAAATAGAATGGAATATTCTGGATATAAGGCATATTTTAAATTTACATAGGAGTATATATCTAAATATGAGTCTTATACTTGTTATACGTGCTAATTTGGAAGATTAGTTATGTAGATTTAAAAAGTTTAATTTTCATCTGTAGTTTTAAGAATTTCCCATTCCAGATTTTAGAGAGGTTAATAAAAGCAAGTCTTGCTAATTTGAATTACATTTATATTCTGTTGTTTTGCTTTTGAAAGTCATAAGATGACAGAAAAGACAAGAATGAAAATGAAGGGATTTATTTAATCTACAAATAGATTTTTCATAACATACTGTATCTCTTGTTATTTGATTTGTGTCCCTAAGAAAAATATCTGATATTTCGAGCAATTTAATGTCACATTAGTAAGGGACATATGGGGAGTTTTAATTTTTTTCCTTATGTTCTACTTGAACTTGTTCCAGTATTTTCATCTTTCTTGTAAAATGTATTCTTAACTATGCCACTTATTTATCATTTGTAAAATGTTCTCTAAATAACGTTGTTCTCTAAATAACGTTGTTCTCTAAATAACGTTAAGGATAGCATTTTCCTCTTAATGTTCCAATAATTTTTTCCTTCTATATAACTTTTATTTTTAAGTTAGGCGAAAGCATAAATTTTAAGACCCTCAAGAAACAAGATTATATATTTTTAATTAGCAGCTTCAATTATACATGAAATTATTTTTAAAAGTTTTCTTAAAAACCAGAATTTAAGGTACATTGTATTTGTTATTAACAAATATTGTTATGTCAAAGTTTAAATGCTGAAACTGGAGTGGATATTTTATTAAATTTAATAAGCTTGCAATTTCCTGTATAAAGGCCATTCAAAAATATTGCATTAAGGAAACCATTTTATTTATTCAATTATTCAACATATGATGAGCACCCACTAGGTTCCAAATACTATATTGTGCTACGTGTTGGGGATGCAGTGGTGGATATAAACCTTTGACCTGTGAACTTTACCTGATCAAACATTGAAAGACAAAAAGAACAACTGAGTCATGCATTTTAGGACAGGTAAAGGGTGAATGCCATTGTATCTGAAATTGGATTGTTAGAATAACCCCCTGAGAGTCAAGCATACCCAAAGCCATACAAAACTTTTTTTTTTGACAAGTACAGAAATACATACCTCTCGTAGACATAGATGGCCTTCCACTGTCCTAGAAGACATGGAGCTCGGTGATTTTTAGATCAGTCCATGAGAGCAAAAGCAGGAGATCTAGGACTGAGAGGTGTTGAGTAGCAAGTCCCAGAAAGCATTAAAAGGCCCTCAATACCATTTAAGAATGTCAGGCTTATATGGACAATTGTGTCTCTTTAACAGCATTAAAAATGACTTTTCTGTTTTATTTACTTTATTGATCTTGTGTGATATTTGTCATTTCCTGTCCTTTTAAAGTTAAGAATAGGAGTTACAAGTGTGTTTCCTTGAAATCCTAAATTTTATCATTTTAATCTGTTACTCGAAGGGTTAAACATTTTTTGTTTCATAATTTTCTTGATAGCTCTAAAGATTGATAATTTAATGTATATTAAATATGAAGTAATGCTATAAATATATCCTTGTCTTCATTTGATTTACATTTTATAATGCTTTTTTGTGTGCTGTAGTGCAAACTTGGATGAGGAAGCACAGGCTGGTACCAGTTCACTAATGTTGGATCACCATCCAGTTGCTATAACAGTGGAGGTGAAGCAAGAAGAAGACATTAAACCCCCTCCTTCACTGATTTTAAATTCTCAGCAGAGTGATACTTTAAAGCAAAGAGAAGAACATGAATTAGTACATGTTATGGAAAGATCTTTGTCACCATCACTTTCCTCTGTTGATATGAGAATGACATCGTCTCCATCTTCTGTTCCAAGGAGAGGTGATTTTTTTCAGCAGGAGAATGGAGAACACTTTAGGTCACAATTAGGGTATGATCCTCAGATTCTGCAAATGCTGAAAGAGGAGCATCGGATAATTTTAGAAAATCAAAAAAATTTTGGATTATATGTTCAGGAAAAGAGGGATGGATTGAAAAGAAGGCAGCAGCTAGAGGAAGAGCTGCTAAGAGCAAAAATTGAAGTGGAAAAGCTGAAAGCAATTCGCTTACAGCATGATCTGCCTGAATATAATAGTTTCTAAAATTTTTTTTTCAATCTGGCAACTTGATTAATATTGGCCAAATTATTTTTATCTGGGAATATCCTGAAACAGAATACATATTCTTTAACAATACTGCTACCCTATTATGAAAAACTTTTTTGACATGATTTTCTAATTATTTAATTTTCTTTTGAGATATACTACAATTTATTGATTGGTTGGCATGAGTATATATATATTTTTGTTTTCCTTCAACTTTCTAAGAAGTTTAGTTGCTGGTGTTACAAAAAATGTTTTATTTTTATCATTAAAATATAACATGTGAGTATACGTACAAACATATATTCTTTCAAAGTTCTGAGTCTTTAACATTTAAAATTAGAGCTTTGAAAGCTGTAGTTTAAGGTTTTTAAGTCAGTCTAGAAGCAATACTGGCCTAGTAAACAGAAACTTGTTTATATTACATTGATTTTATGCTTTCATATTTTGAAGGAGAAGTCCTAGTATTTTAGAGATGAAAGTTATTTGCAGATCACTTTTTCCCAACTCTTCAATTTAGAGGTCCAGGGAGAGCTCGATGACTTACTTACTGGAACAAAGCTATTATGGCAGAGCAAGGACCAGCGCTCAGTTTTTGTCTCACTGTGATCTTTCCCCTGCTATTCCATGGAAGTAAAGATCCACTAAAATATCTTCCATATTAAAAAATTAGAAGCATTTATTTTTAAATTGCTTTTAAGGATTAGTAGGTATTGAAATCAGAAGAATTATATCAGTTACTCCCCATTCTGCCTCCCTTTTTTCTCTAGTAAAGTAAGATATTTCTCTTTTAGGTATTACATATTTTGGCTGTAAGATTTAATATGTCTTAATTCACTTTTAATGTCTTAATTCTATAAAAGATTTCTGTCATAGTAAGAAAAAAACAGTAAAAATTTCAAAGAACAAAATTAAACTTTTACATAGACTGAAAATAGCAAAAAATGTTTATAATTTATTATATAATCTATAATTTTAAAAATAAATATTGCTGTTTTAGTATTTGTGGAAATAAAACTTTGATTCTTTAAAGTACACATACTAAATTTAAGTTAAATCTTTAATATGTATATTACTTAAATATTTCTATTTTTGCTGGGCTTTGTTGAGGAAGAATTTTTAAGCCAGGTTTTAAAATGAGGTAGGTAGTAAGTGAGAGTGAGCAGCATGAAAAAGGCATAGAGTATGGGGAAGAATGGGTCAGTGTACTAGCACAATATAGTGAGTGCTAAGCCGGGTGATTTCAAGTGGGTATAGAGAGGGCCAGTTAGGGCTGTGGTTACCTGGACTAGGACTTCTCACTTGACTGAGCTCCAGTAGAATCGTACATGCAGAAGTAAGCCAGAAATCTGCATTTTTCTGTGAAGTTTTCCAATTTTAAAATGTTTGAGGATAATACAAAATGTGTTTAAAACACTACACAGACAAAACATGTCGGTGGGCCTCATTCAGCCTATGGGCTTCCAGTTTGTTGTCTTTATGGTAGGGCTATGCTCACCAAGAGTAGTTCCTGACCACTAGCATCAGCATCTCTTGAGAACTTGTGAGAAATGTAAGTCCATTCTTTTTGAATCAGAAACTCAAGGGGGAGTCCAACATCTCTTTTATTAAACCTGTTAAAGATTCCGATGCAAGCTAAAGTTTGAGAACCACTGGAATAGAGTGGAACTTAGCTTGGTGCCTAAATCATACTAGATTCTCAAAAAATTTCTTTGAAAAGAGGAGCAGGTGAAGGTGAATTGAGGGATATCAGTTTGGAAGTTGGTGCCAGATTATGGATTGCATTAAATGCCATTTTTAAGGAATCAAACTTGAATGGACAATGGGAAGCTATTGAAGGCTTTTGGTTAGGGGGAGATAAATTAGAGCTGAGAGTTGGTGTTATAATGGCATTTAGTAAGAGGAAGTTAAATCCAAAATTTTGATTATGGCTATTGAAAAAGAAAGAATAAAAAATCAAATGGACTCATGCTACTATTTTAGCTTGTTGATTGCTTAATTTCATTGGTATTTTATATCTGCTATTAGAGTTAAATATTTTATTATAAAAATACCTTGAATGTTACGATATATTCTTTAGACAGTATGATCTTTAATCTGTCCTGTGACTTTTCTTTCAGTCTAATGAATCTTATAATTCTAATTTGAAGCAATGTTTTTACAATATAATTCTAAATACATCCTTGTAGTAGATAAAACATTTTTAAATTATTGAAAGCAAATTACTATATATAATGAAATTCATATTACAGTCACAGCATGCTATGACTCAGAATTGATGAATGTTCAATTTAAATGTGGAATTTGTGCAGCTATATCAAAGTTTTTCAAAGTGTGTTCTGTGGAACATTAATTCTGTGAGGTGTTTCTAGGGAAAGAGTTCTGGTTTCAAACAGTGCAACATACGCCTTTTTTTGTGGTTAGGTTCTAAAATCTATGTGTAAAGTAGAAAAATGTATATACAAAATTGTCCTTGAAAATTTATTTTGCTGCCCATAACATAGAGTAAACATAGTCTGCTACAGTCATATTTTTCTCCAGCATTGTTCAAGACTGTTTCTTTGGTTGTGTCAGGTGACAAATTCATTAGCATTTAGGGCTAAGTAGAGTAAAAAAACCTTACTTTACAAATTTTTAAACACTAGAATTGCACACATTGCAGTGAGTTTGCTGCAGCAATTATCCTGAGTGAATTTTGTTTAATTTTAATTTGCAAAAATTTAAATGCTTATAATTTGCTCCAGTGTATAGCCACCTCTCCACCCAGGTACCTGTAAGTAGCATATTAGTTTATGAGAAATGCTGTATAAAGAAAACTTATTTGACCATTTAACTGTTTTTGGAGGTGTTTATTATTTATTTATTATCTTGCACAGTCTTTTAGAAAATTCTGAGCTAAAAAGCCTTTTTCTTTTTGATATTGAGACTTTAGAGTTTTTTGACTACTTATCAACTTACATTAGCAATTTTTGTTGAGAACAAGTTTTGCTAAGGGGAATGTAAGGGGCAAGTTCTGCTAGGTGCTAATGGAATACAGCTGAAGCCACCAGACATCCTACATGCCATAGACAACTACAAGGGCCATGAGCTTTGCCTACAAAATGTGATGCCGAGAAAACATAGGGAAGAGTTATTTTTAAAATGTAGGCTCAATTCTATAGAAATATATTAATTTTGAAAAATGTACTAAGGCAAAATATTTCATCTAATATATTAGTAATTTAGAGAGTATATAGATTATTTTTGCCACCTTTTTATCCATATCAAAATGATACATTGTTGTAGCTTAGGATTTTCTAAATCACATATGATTTATAATGACATCCTGAAAAAGTTAATCTCTTTCTAAAAATGGCAGATATCTTAAAATATTCAAATTAAGTACTTTTTTGTATAATTTGACATCAACGTGTTGTTATTTCATTTTTGAAAGATTCACTCTACCCTGTTGCATCTTATGTGAGAATGTTTAAAATATGAATTTTTTTCCATGTGTTTTCTGGGATAATGTGAAATTTTAAATAGACGTGCTTAAATAATTTAGAGTGTGAATGATTGTATTTAATATATACTATAGATAATAGTGGTTAAATGCTTTGTTGGTACATGTTCTTTTAAATACAAGGTAATACATTGTACTGATTTGTGTACTTTGTGTCTCATAAAACAAACAATTCAGTACTGTTAAGGTAAAATTTTTGGATGAGGCATAAATAAAATAAATGTATCTAGATGATAGTGTTATAGTAGATACCAAATGTACCATGTCTAAATATCAAAATTGTTTTTCCATTTAAGATCCACAAATTCTCAAAACTAATATTTGATGCAATTCGATTGTAAATACTTAGATGTAATTAGATAAAATATGGTTGCAATACGTAAGAAATACAAAAGAGTAAGTTCTTAGAATATGCAACCTAATTCAACATGCTAAATCTGTGGTTTTGAGAAATTGGCTCAATATTTTTTTTTCTTTCTTTGCTTTGTAGAAAGTCTTTTTCTGTTAGGAGTAACTAACTGCTTTTATGATTTTATAAGTTAAAAAATTTTTATGTGCCTGACTGGGGTCCATGAAATAACAAAAGTACAATTCCCCACCCAAATAAAAAAAGCATCAGACACACTGAAGGCTCTGATTGTTTCATATTTTCAGAAATAAAAGTGACTATATACTCTTATTAATTAGTAGTTTGGTAAAATTTTTATAGAATTGTTAATGATTCATGGTTTCCCATGTTGTCATCTTAGGCAACATTCCACCAAATTAGAGCTTTCCAAAATTGTAGTACCATGTATAGTGCTTTATTTATTATGATAGAATTTTCATTTTAAAACCAGAATTGGGCTGAATGTTGAATGTTGCTTTTTTTTAAAGCTAAAATTTATGTTTTATGTATAGTTGTAAAACACTGATATCAATATCCCATTACCTTTAATCAAGAGTGATTACACTCTTGTTGAAAAGTAAATTTATTTATCAAATGAAATTTAAAGTTGTACTAACAGTGGGGGAAAAAAACTTGCTTTTTGATTAAGGCTTTATAGAACAGAATTTCTATTTCATCAGAGCTATCTAGGACCCTTTTCTTATGAAAACATTGTATCTTAACCATGAGTGGAATTGTTAGATATTTTTTTCTCGTCTAATTAGACTGAAACCTCAACCAGGCGTAGTGCATTAATATGAAATACTTTTGAAACAGAATTTTTTAAAAAAGGAACATTTACAAAAAGATCATATAATGCTAGATGGGATGTTAAAATGACTCGTTTGTAGTATTTTTTAAAACCTTCATTTTTGCTCAGAATAAATTGCCTTTAATTATTTTCCATTTTCAATGGAATTTCATTTATAGGTTTGACATATCAAGTCAATATAATGTTTTAGAGTTTAGTAATTTTGGATTCCAGATCATTTAAGTTGAACATGGAAATGTGAAGTTTACTTAAGAAAATTAATTTTCTTCTTCTGTAGCATCTAAGTCTTCATCCTCTTCATCATCATCTTCTGCTTGCTGATCCTTTCTTAGTGGACAGGTGGATGGATACCTGTCCTTTTCCAGATACACACTTGGCTGACAATCTCTGAAGAGGTGATTTTGAATTTGCTCTTACAGTATCTAAATGAGATGAATAATCTGGTGGATACAGAGAATTTTGGAAAACCTCTAAATCCTCTTTATCAATCTTTTATATATTTTGATAGGCAGCAGTGTAGACCTCTAAAGCTTTGCCATGAAATAACATTTTGATAGTGATAAATTCCAAAAATACGATCTTTATATCCTTTATTTTCTCTGCTTTTCAAAATTGTTAATAGTTTCCTCTAGATGACGTGTTGTTCGGGTAGCATCCATTGTAACTCTCTGTAGTTCGGTTTCTGCCTGTGAAATAACGTTATCAGATGGGTTTCGCTGACGTGTTCTTTCTGAGTTAATTGTTTATTTAGCTTCTCCATTCCTTGATGTTAATGTTGGTTTGAGGTCATCACGTTTCTTTTTTTTACAATGGCTCCATAAGCTTTCAAAGATTCAGCTACTTTGGCTTCAAGCCTTTCAATCTCTGCTTGTTGATAATCCTGAAGTTTGGTAAACTCGTCAGCAAAGTTTTTCAGGCCCTGCTTTAAATGTGGGGTTTCTGTAGAGGCATACACGTTGATTTCATTCACCAGGAGGTCTGCTTTGTCTCGCAGTCTGGCAGTTTTCCGCACATAAGCAGCAAAGATTTGGCACAGCGCTCCAAAGTGCTTCTCCACATTTGTGACAGCATCTTGAAGTTGTCTGGCTTGGGCATCCCGGTTTTCTAAGCTGCGCCTCATCATCTTGCCTCGCACAGGTCTGGATCCGAGGCTGGGGCCCAACAACGGGCTCCACGCCGCCCGAGCCCGCGTTAGGGCGCCAGCCGCCACCGCCGCCCGGAGCCCGAGCGCCCGCCTTGCGCGCCCCCGGGCCGGCCAGGGCCCCGGCGTTTCTACGGCAACGCGGCGCGCGCCCCCGCGGTCAAAGCCGGAGTCGGCGGGAGCGCGGAGAAGGCACCTGAAGGGCAAAACTGCGAGGGCACGCGAGGGTTCCGGCAGCCTCCCCAGAGACTCGCCGCCGCGCTCGCCGCGCGTGCCTGCTGCCTGATGTCTCTCAATATATTTTCATGTATCTTTTAAATTGTCTAATTAAAACTAGTAACTATAATTTGAATTTGTATTATTTTTAGTTTTCAATTGCTATGTAAATATGGGAAGCAATATCAAGAAATAATACTAATTAATTCAGCCCAATTTAAAGTAAAATGGATCTATCTTTAGACTTATACTTTGTTAGTAGATATTTAGTGTTTTAAAATTGTGTGACTTAATCTCTGTTACAAAGATTCAGAAAGTCTTCAAATATACAGAAAAAGCTAAAAAGCATTTCACAGTAAATATTCATGTGCTTAACACCTAAATTCTGTAATTAATGTTTTGCTGTATTTGCTTTATTATATATTTATCCATCTATTGATTCATTTTTTTAAAGAAAACTGTTATTTTAAAACAAGTTGCAGAATTAGAGTACTTTACCCCTAAATATTTCAGCATAAGTTTCATGAGCTGGAGTTCCATATTGGTGTGTGTGTGTGCGTGTGTGTGTGTGTGTGTGTTAGGTATGATTTGCAAACAGTGGAATGCACAAATCTTAAATGATGAGTTTTGGCAAATGACTACACCTGTGTAGCTTAAATCCTTCTCAAGATTAAGAATGTTACTACCATCAGAAAGTGCTCTCCTGCCCTTTCCTAATTAATACCATGGCAGCTCAGGGAACTACTGTTACAATTTTTAAAAAATCATAGATAAGTTTTGCCTGTTCTAAACTTCATATAATTGGAATGATACAGTGTGTACCCTCTTTTCTGTTTTCTTTCAACCATTTGAAGATTTTTAATACCCATTTTATTTTGTTCATTGCTTTTTGCTGCTGAGTAGTATTCCATTGTATAAATATACCACAGTTTGTGTATCCATTATCTTTTGATGGACTTCTGGGCTATTTCCAGATTTTGGCTGTTACGTATAAGGATTCTGTGAATATTCTGGTATAATTTTTTATGGATATAATAGTGGATTAGGGAAGATGTGCATTTAACTTTTTAAGAAACTGCCAGACCTTTACCCAAAGTGATTATGCCATTTTACATTTCCATCAACATTGTATTGTGTTTTTTTTCCTAGTAAAGCTTTGCATGTTTAATGATTGGACTGTCAGATTGGAAATTGATGAATAACTTTTCTGGTACTTAAAGGAATTCTCTAGATACTTGGGAATATTGCAGATTTATTAATTTTTTGTTTTCTATGTTAGCACTTATTGCATATATACCTTGACAAGAGATACTGAAAATATGGAATGTACAGTCCCTGTCATGCTCATAAAATATTCTGAAAATGATATTTAATGCAAAGAAATATCTTCTAGGTTTATTTTATAAATTATGATATGTATTCTTAGCTGACATTTAGTCTCTTATTAGATAAAAAAATATAGATGGCTACCAGTTCAAAGGAATTTGTCTGTAATTAATATTTGTATATTAATGTATTGTTTTTAGTGTAATAAAAACTATCAAATCATAAAGTTCTGGTAGGTTTTGTTAATCTCAAAACTCAAATATAACCCACAAGAGATTTACATTCTTTGTTGAATGTGATTAATATGAGACATTTTACTTTTAATTAATTTTATAAAAAACAATGTATTTAGAATTTTTAAAAGGAAAGAAAGAATACTGAAGGTGGGCTTATGGAATGTACGGTTAAGTCATCCAACCCTAGAGTAACTATGCTTGGCAATCATCAAGACAATCATGTCCATTATCAGTATTAAAATAATGTTATCTTCCTATTTCTCTATTGTCAAAAGTTTTAAGCATCCTCAACTTTTTGAGTCTTGCTGATAGGCATTCAAGTCTTGTTTATGCAGGCCATTTTTGGTATTGATTTGGGAAGTACATTACAGGGTCAAGGGGGAAAAGATAAGAACCAAGTTTAGAAATAAAAATTACAGTTAAAGTGGAATTATTAGGGATGGTTAGTCTGGGACATAGTAAATTAGTCAATACTTGATGTTTTACAAGTACTCTAGGTATAGGAGATCATGTTCCACATATATTTAAGTCCCAGTATCTTCATTCTTCTTTTTAGAACTATTCACCCTCTCCCTTCCCTGCCCTGTGGCCTATATTTAAAATGGGACAAATTGGGAAAACGATGAGGGTAAGATGATGATGATGGAAGTTAACATGTAGTTCTTGCTACATGACCAATACTGTTTAAAGTGTTTTACGTGTATTAGCTGATCTATGTCCACAAGTCTGCAAGGTAGGTATTAGTATTATATTCATTTACAGATTTATGAACTGGCACAGAGGGGTACTTGTCCAGGGTCACAAAACAAGTAAGTGGCAGAATCAAGATTCCAACCCAGCCAGATTAGTTCATGCTCTTCTCCTCCTGCTGTTCTGCAAAAGAAAGGATATATCTTAAGTCTGAAAAATGTTACGGTATTTCAAAGTTAATTATAAGTAATTTCTTAATTCTCAGAATTTAATTATTATCTTTTCTGTTCAGCCTTTTTTTGGTGAGAGGAAGGGTCTTGGACACAAATAGCCACTCTTTCTGTCTCTGGGAATACAACAGGATATCTGACTCATGGTATTTTTTCCTGCCCTTTTGATGAAGACATTCTTTTTACCCTTGTTTTGCAGCAATCCTGCGGAATTACATTTTTTTCCTGGATAACCTAATGAAAAACAAGAACAGATTTTTAAAATACAGGAAGATATTGTCAGTCTTTCAGTGTACAGTGACTGCTACTGGTAGAAGTAATGGAAAAATCACTTATTTAAATTGGCTGAAATTGCACACTGCAAAATGTTTTAGAGTTAAAAAACTGGTCAAAGCCTCCTGTGTCTTTTTTGTGTATGCTACAAACCCCAATCAAGACCATTAAAACTAATGGATTTTAAGCAGGAAGGATACATGGTCAGATTTGCTTTTGAAAATAGATACAGTAAACATGAAAAATGGTTGTAGGGAATAGAGGTGGCAAGAGAAAGTTTCAGTAGACCTGTTGGGAAGATCCTGTAATAGAACAGTAGTCTAGATTAGAGACGATGATTTGAAAAGAGTGTAGACAATGGAGAAGGCAAACAGTACACACCTTTGGGACCAGGAAGGGGGTAGAATCATGTGGATTTTATGGTTGATTGGCTGTGGAACTGAGAAAGTGAAGAATGATAAGGATGACTCCCAGTTTTTTTTTATTTGAAAAAGTGTGATGGTACCTTCACTGAGAAGGGAAAACTGAAGGAGGAGCAATTTTTGGAGAGAAGATAATGGGACATGATGAGTTTGAAATGTCATTACTCATTTATGTGACAGGTCTGGGAGGCAGTTGGCTATACAGATAAACAGATCTACATTCATGATTTGGGCTAGAGAAAGAATATGTAAGTTAGTACAGAAGTGGTGTTGAAGCCATGAGAGTAGATGAGCTAATTTAAGAAGTGGTGGACAGTGACAAGAGGGCCTAGAATTCAGATCTGATGAACTGTAAAGATGTTTAAGAAGCAGTAACCATAGAAATAGGAAAAATTGAAGTGTGTTAGAGAAACTATAGAAATAGAGTAGTATTTCAAGGAGGAAGTAGTCAACATTGTCCAATGCTTTTGAAGACTTTGTTCAGGACTACAAAAATAACCTCTGGATTTACAGATGAAGAGCTCTTGGTGGCCTTTTAACAAGGGCAGCTTTGAGGGAGGGTTGGTTTGGAAACTAGATTGGAGTACAGATCTTCCACTTAACGGTGGGATTATGTGCTGATAAACCCACTGTAAATTGAAAATAAGTGGAAATATATTTAACATACCTACCAAACATTGCAGCTCAGCCTAGGCCTACCTTTTTGTGCTTAGGACAGTTACGTCAGCCTACAGTTAAGCAAAATTGTCTAACAGGAAGTTTATTTTATAATTAAGTGTTGAATATCTCCAGTGATGAAATTAGGGGAGTCAAGCAAAGAGGACATGTAAATATATTTAAAAAATTCTTACCGTTGATAATGGAATTCAAATTATAATGTTAAATAACTTCCACATACTGATTTGGTAAAGATGAGTGTGCACACAAAATTATGTACAGGAATGTTCATAGCTAGTCAAGAGCTACAAACAACTGCCTTTCTGTATTTTGTACAATTCAGAAGGAACAAACTACTAATACAGGCAAAAACTTGGATGAATCTCAAAGACATTTTGAGATTGGGAGAAACCAGTCATAAAAGTTTGTGTGCTGTATGAGTTCCATTTATTTGACATTTTCAAAAATGACAAAACTATATTGATGAAAAACTGATCAGTGTTTGCTGGGGATTTGGGATAGGGCAAGGGTATGGCTGACTGTAATGGAACAGTATGAGGCAGTCTTTTGGGGTGATGAGACTATTCTGTATCTTGATTCTGGTTGTGGTTAAATGAGTCTATAATTACGATAATAATTTGTAGAACAGTACACAAAGAAAACAGTCAATTTTACTATATAATAATCTTAAGAATAAAAGTATAGTTAGAAAAAAATTGGTTAAGATGATATATTGTGTTGATGTACGTGTAGTGAAGTGGACACTTGATTGGTGGGAATATCATTGGAAGAATATTTTCCAGTCTAAATTAAGAGTCTGAAAATCTTTAAACCTTCTGTACCAATAATTTTATTTCTAAGATTTTTATCTTGAGCAAATAATCAGAGCTGTACAAAGATTGAATATAATAGTAAAAACTAATACAAATGCCCAACAGTAGGGAACTTATTAAACTATGATACTTCCTTTAGTAGAATATTATACTGATATTAAATAACATTTTACTTTATCACATAGGAGATGTAATCACAGTAATGTAGAAAAAGAATAAAAAACTATACATTATATTTCTAGGTATATTAGGAGCATATTTTCCCCCAAAGAAGTGTCTAGCAATTACCCATTGTGCATATATACACTGGAAGACTAGGAAACTGGGGCAACTGCACCAAAGTCCTCTGCCTGCTTGGCTTCTGCCCAGGGTTACAGCAGCCCGAGTCTTTCCATTGAGCCATGCATTCTGAGCATAGCTGACTCAAGCTGCATAAGAATCATTTGTTCTCTTCAGAAACAAACTTTGATGTTTCTGAGGATAATTTATTATTTGGAGATAGTCAAGACTGATGTCTAAATCCATGAATGCCAACGATGAGGGTATGAATTATCTGAACATACTAGAATGGACTTTCAGGCTTTTGGGGGATTGGTTTAGTAGCTTGAAGCCATGCATTTTGTTTTGTTTTGTTTTGATTTATGTTTTTTCTCTTTGGTAAATACCTTCCAATGGAATGGCCGTGTATAGTATGTGTGTGTTTAAATTTTTTAAGAGTTTGCCAAGCTATTTCCAAAGTGGTTGTACTGTTTTGCATAACTTCCAGCAGGATATTTTATTTCCAGTTGCTCTTCATCTCTGCTGACACTTGGTATGGTCAGGTTTTTCTAGTGGGCATGTGGTGTTACGATGTTCTTTTTTTTGAAGCTTTACTAGTATATAATTCACATGCTATATAGACTTCACCCATATAAAATGTACAATTCATGTTTTTGATATAGTCACTATTATGTGCAACTATCCCCACAGTCAATTTTAGAACATTTTCAACATTTCAAAAAGAAACTGTGTGTTCTCTAGCTGTCCCACCTTCTATTCCCACCCATACTCCCAGCACTAAGTAGTTGCTAATGTACTTTCTATCTCTATAGATTTCCCTGTTCTGAACGTTTCGGATGAACGGGATTTTATTTTATGACATGTTTTTGTGTGTGTGTGTGTGACTGGCTTCTTTAACTTAGCATAATAGTTTAAGAGTTCATCCATGTGGCATGTATTAGTACTTTATTCTTTTTTATGCCCAAATAATATTCCATTGTATGGGTATATCACATTTGTTTGCCTCCTTGTGAGTTGAATAGTTATTTGGGTGGTTTGGGTTATTTTGAATAATTTTGCTGTAAACATTCACGTGTGTGTTTGTGTGCACACGTTTCCATTTCTCTTGGGCACATCCCTAAAAGTGGAATTGCTGTGTTATATGGTAACTCTGTTTAATCATTTCAAGAATTGTAAGACTCTTTTCCTAAGTGGCTTCACTGTTTTACATTTCTACCAGCAGTGTTTCAGGGTTCTAGTTTCTCTACATCCTCACCACACTTGTAATTATCTGACTTTTTGATATTAATCATCCCAGTAGATGTGAAGTGTATCTTACTCTGTCTTAAATTTGCATTTCCCAGATGATTAATGATGTTAAACATCTTTTTATGTATTTATTAGCTATTTGTATATGTTCTTTTCTGAGTTATCTAAGTCTTTTTTCCATTTTGATAAATTTATTTGTAGTATTATTTTTGAGCTGTAAGAATTATTAATACATTTTGGATATAAGTCCTTCATCTTTTATATGTGTTGTCAGTATTATC